ATAAATAAATAATTTCACAGAGAAAAATGGAAAAAGGAACAAAAGTAATTTTTACTATACTTTAAAAGTAAAACCTGAACTGTTCGGAGTATCTGCGTATTTCTCGTAATTTTTTTACTTTGAAAATAATAAAATTAACTCCTGAAATAGTACATTTTACTCTTTCCGGAGTTTCACTGCGTTTTTCTGGTAAGTTTTACTCCCAAAAATAGTAAATTTTACTCTTTCCGGAGTTTGACAGCGATTTTCTGGTAATTTTTACTCCGAAAATAGTAAAATTTACTCCTGAAATAGTAAATTTTACACTTTCTAGAGTTTCACTTCGTTTTTCTGGTAACTTTTACTCCGAAAATAGTAAAATTTACTCCTGAAATAGTACATTTCACTCTTTCCAGAGTTTCTGCGCATTTCTGGTGATTTTTACTCCGAAAATAGTAAAAGTTACTCCTGAAATAGTAAATTTTACTCTTTCCAGAGTTTCACTGCGTTTTTCTGGTAATTTTTACTCCGAAAATAGTACAATTTACTTCTGACATAGTAAATTTTACTCTTTCCAGAGTTTCTGCGCATTTCTGATAATTTTTACTCCGAAAATAGTAAAATTTACTCCTGAAATAGTAAATTTTACTCTTTCCAGAGTTTCACTGCGTTTTTCTGGTAATTTTTACTCCGAAAATAGTACAATTTACTTCTGACATAGTAAATTTTACTCTTTCCAGAGTTTCTGCGCATTTCTGATAATTTTTACTCCGTAAATAGTAAAATTTACTCCTGAAATAGTAATTTTTACTCCGAAAAATAGTAAAATTTATTCCTGAAATAGTAAATTGTACTCTTCCCAAAGTTTCCGCGCATTTATGGTAATTTGTACTCAAAAAATAGTTAAATTTACTACTTCACGAGTAAATTTTACTATTTCCGGAGTTTTTGACCATTTCTGGTAATTTTTACTCTCAAAATAGTAAAATTTACTCCTGAAATAGTAAATTTTACTATTTCCGGAGTTTCTTCGAATTTCTGGTAATATTTACTCCAAAAATAGTAAAATTTACTCCTGAAATAGTAAATGTTACTCTTTTCGGAGTTTCTGCGAATTTCTGGTAATTTTTACTCCGAAAATAGTAAAATTTACTTCTGAAATAGTAAATTTTACTATTAGTGGAATAAAATTTACCAGAAATGTGAGAAACTTTGGAAAGTTCAAGATTTTATTTTTAAAGTAGTAAAAGTTACTTTATTCATTATTCAATTTTTCTTCGCGTATTTAACAGAATTATTATAAAATTTCTAAAAAGTATATAAATATTCCTACACTTAATAAAAGTATCTTTGATTTTAAAAAAATTTATTTGATTCCAAACTACTTTATTATCACTGAAAAAAATAATTACTTGGATCAAATAAAAATTACGTGATCCAAGTAAATAATTTATCTATTATCCAGTAAATTATTTCAATCAAATAAATATTTAATAGACTTAAGTAAATTTATTATAGATTCAGTTAATTTTTTAAACTGATGTAAGCAAAAAAATCTATACCTAGATCCGCGATACGTTTCACTTAAACAGCGAAAGTTTTCAGTTTTGTTTTGGAACTTTTGTCCTACAATCTTCTAGAGAAATATATCGCTGTTCCAGAGAAACTTATCGCTGTTCCAAAATGGCTGATCCAGGTGAAGATTTTTTTAACTTATTTGAATCAAATACATATTTTTTGGATTCAAATAAATATTTATAATGTAAATATTTTTCAAAATTTGAATTACCTGAATCAAATTTTTTCTGTATCGAAAAATATTTATTTAATATTATTCGAGTCAATTAAATATCATTTGTTTCAAATACAAAAATTATTGGTTCGAATACAATTTCTTTAATTCAATTTGTTTTTTTTTTTCAAAAATTATTTGATTTGTTTAGTAACCGATTATTTGAATCAAATAAATTTTTTTCTGTATATAATTTTCACGAGACGAAATTTTATAATATGTCATTGAACGAATGTTATTGAAACAGAAATGAAAAGTAAAAACAAGTTTCATATGGATTTTCAGAAACCAGTTTTTTTTTTTTTTTTTTTTTCCTCAAATGACAACACTGACCAATATTGAATATTTATGAAGCAAAATGAAAGAAACTCAAAATTCCTGATATCGTTCTTGTACATACAAACACACATATATGAACGAGAAAAAAAAATGGTAGTTGAATCATTTTCAAGAATCTTGTCCTTGAAATAAAATAAGGTGGAGTTCCCCATGCGAGTTCAGGGCAGTAACAGCTTCGTGTGTGTGTGTGTGTACGCGAAACGTGAGAAACCGGTCTGAGACGATTTGGATGCGGCAATTTCTCTACATGTGTGTATATGAGAGAGAAAAAGATCAATGTATGGCAAAGAAGAAGAAGAACCAATGAAACAGAACTGCACGTGTGTAATCTTGAAAGTGAAAGATAATTCTTAATATTAATTCAACTAAATTCTTCAAAATATATGTTTTCAAAAAATTTGATTCAACAATTTCGATACGAATAATTATATAAAAAAATAATAGAAATTAACAGTATAACAAATTTTTGTTTAATTACAATATAATTAATTAAAAACAGAATTAAAAGAATCCTTATTTAGAAATGCAAAAAAAAAAAACCTCCTATGAAATTGAATTTAACCTAAATGACTCAAACAAGAGTAAACTGACTTTGAAGTGAAGCTGGTCGATTCAAATAAAAGTTGATCTCCTTTTTGCCTCAATTCAAGTATAAAATTCCCTTAGAGTTCGAAATTGGAGAGAGACACAGAAAGAAAGAAAGAAAGAGATACGAGATAATATCGAGTTCGTCCTCCCAACTTGATTTATCAATCAGAGGAACTCGAGCCAGTGTATATCATGGACCCTCTTCTCTCAAATGGAATTTAACAGAAGGAAATACTTTTACATGAATTTAAAAAAATTTATGTAATCTAATTTTTCAATTTAATACCAGAGTATACGAATAATAATAATAATAATAAAAAAAAAATACTAGTTGGTAACGACACGGATCGACGAAGTAATAAGTCTTCAAAAGCGGAAGGTACGCTCTGTTTAAACGTTTAAGCTATAGTTTTGACTGACAGAAGCATGGACCATATTTCCCTTTAGAAAAAAAAAAAAATTGTAATCCATAGAAAAATTAACGAAATTAATAAAAAAAATTATTTCAATTTCAAAAATTAATTTCCAAACCAAAACTGGTTATAAAAAAAATGATGCAATGAAACATGTTACAGAGAAAAAATTATTATGTCATTACATAATATTGTCACACACACATTGAGAAAAATGAAGGAATAAAATAGAATTGATAAATCAATTAAGTAAAAAGGTAAAGTACAATGGATCAATTTGTGCGATGAGAAAAATCGAAATTACGGGTCTTTTTATTATTTTCCTCGATGGGGAATTAAATTTATCCCAGTGTTTTATCAACCGGTATAATCTTTACGATTCTCTCCATCGACAACAATAGTAGGCGATTAGCAATCTGTAAAATAGGAGATAATATCCACTATATACCAAATGATGACTAATTTTATATATATACATATACGTAATCAAATCCTTTTAAACGTCTCCTTTTTGCAATAAAAAAATTTTCCCAAAAAAAAAAACAATCTATAAAAATCCAACAAAAATTTTATTCCAAATTTTTTTTTTGGTTTAATTACAAAAATAAATATCAAAAATTTTTATACGTGCCAATTTCATGTATTTAAAAAATTATGAAACCAAATTAATTTTTGACTATAAAATACAAGGATTTTAATCAACAAACGATAAGTGAGCTTATATATATATATTTGAAAATAATCTCCGGGATTTATTTTCAAGTTGCATATTTAGTGTTTGATATTTTCAGATATATTTAAAACGTCAATAATTCATGACCACTCTCTGCGTGTTTTGTCAGAGGCAATTTTGAATCTAGAAACGATTAAAACTAAATTTAGAATCGAGTAGACAAGTTATTGAGTCTGAATATCATTTTTTTTTCTCCTCTGGTTTTCAAGAAAAATTAGGATATTTAATTTAAAAAAAAATTTTCACTACATTTCAATTTCGAAATTAAAATTAATTAACAATTTTAATAATTAATTTTACCCCGAAATAAAACGAATAAATAAAAATTTATTTTCATCCAATACGGATTCTTTTGTTATTGAAACTATTAATCAAGGTCAATAGAAAAATTTGTATATGGAAATTAAAGTTGGGAACTTTTCATTTCAAAATCAAAACAGAAATTCTCTCACTTTTATCAAAAAAATCTGAGAAATATTCAAATTCTCAATATAATTCAAAGGAAAAAAGTAGATTTTGATTTTTAATAATAGTAATAATAAAAATTTTTCTATAATAAATAGAAAATTAATAAAATATTTAATAAAATATTTAATAAAATATTTAATAAAATATTTAATAAAATATTAATAAAATATTAATAAAATATTTAATAAATATTAAATTAATATTACATTAATAAAAAATAAAAAAATTTATAAAAAAATAATTAATAAAAGGGTGAATGAGAAAAAAATCTTTAAATTTTAAAACAGCAGAAAAAGGATGCAAAAATAGAAAGTTAATAATTATAAAATCTAAACTGTGAAATACAGAGATTGTGAATCGCTTGACCTTGGGATCCCACGATCTAGCAATATTCTTGGAATCAAGAATGGCAACATCGAAACACGAGGTAAGGTAAAAGTTAGAATTTGGGGACTATACTCAGGTAAAAATGGACGCGAAATGCACCTGTTCCCCTGGCTTAATGTTTCAAAACTCGAAAATTTGCCAATTTATGGTTTAAAAACGTTCCTCAAACTTCGAATTTGATCATGCGCTTTTCGTAGTTTTAACCGGCAAAATTAAATACAAAAATATATTGATTCCTCACATGTTCAGTACCGGCGAAACAAGAAAAAATTAAAACTAAAAATTAAAAATAAAAACTCACCAAAAAAATAGGTAGGCAAATAAATCCACTGGCAATGTAATTTCAATCCACAAAGAATCTCAACGACGAAAAAACACTTTCTTGAAACACTATTATTTTTTTCTTAAATGCACAAAACACACCACTTTTATTAACTGTTAAAATCTCTTTTAAACTCCAAAATTCACACGCGAGAAAAACTTTCTTTTTTAAAAATTCAAATCACTTTTTTTAATTATCACTCTTTATCACATTTGATACACGTGACAAATTTTTTTTTGTTGTCTCAACAAAAAAAAAAAAAATGTCAAGATTTGGCGCGCGCACACACCACACTGTGCAATTTGAGGTTATGAAAAGCACGCCAGAATCAGGAGAGATCGAGAGTGCAAAAGAGGGAGTGAGAGAGAGAGAGACACACAAACACACACACACACGAGTATATTAACTTTCGATTTTTCTTGGAAAAAAAAAAAATTTATAATTTCTTTACCACGACACTTGACTGAAACAAAAGAAGAAAAAAAATTTTCTCATTAATTAAATTTTTCAAAAATCACAGAAAAAAAAAAAATGAGGAATAGAATATTATATTTTGAAACGTCGTCGTGAAAAGTGCGCGTAATAGATCCAGCTAAGTTGTAGGCACGCCACGAGTAGTAGCGACGCTAAAACTTTGCCACGAGTCGTCCCTCCAAGTGGTGGGGGGAGTTTGAATTGATGACAGAGGGGATAGGAGCAATGGGGAGGAGAGAGGGGGGCAGAGAGAGAGAGAAAGAGAGATGGAAGCAGAGGAGGCTTTTACCAATGACTGTGTAAACCTTCTGAGAAGCGAAAGTAGGGGGTTTGGAACACTAAGAGCAAGAGAGAGAGAGAAAGAGAGGGAGAGTGATGAAGAAAGAGAGAAGAGAGAGAGAGAGAGGAATGATGGTTTGGGGGAAGACTGACGAGACGATTGAGGGGGGAAAAGACCAGCTGTAGAGGGATAGGGAAAAGCGACTGAGGGGAGAGCAACAGCCGCCACACCGGCAACAGACGGCTTGAACGTCTTCGATATGTGTATATTTGCTTGTTGGTTGACGTCGACGCACCGACAAAAGCCATATCCATGTGTACAATCATACACAGGGTGACCCTCACGATTATTTTTTTTTTCGTCTAATTAATTATTAACCACCAATGCTCTAAAACGCGTGTCAAGGTGAACACGTGATCATTAATTCAAATCCAATTTTCTAATGTTCATAAATCTGTTATTTCATTTTTAAAATCATCCGAAACTATTCGATCCAAAACTGATCCAAATAAAAATAAAATTGTTGATCCAAAATCATTTTTTTTTCCCCACCACATAATGACATCATCATTGAGAATAAATTCACATACACTGTGCGGAGTTGAAACAAAAATCCGTTATACACATTTCTATAATTCACTGAGAGATTTCAATTGTTGTAAGAATTGTGTGATAAAAGAGGAGATATTGTACTGCATTCATTTATTGAAGTAGAATTTTACAATTAGGACTGTTGTAATGATGAAGAGCTACCCAAAAAAAAAATGAAACACAACTGGCAGATTGCCAAGAGATACAGAATTTAGAAAGAGAACAAGTGTAATGTGCATTCTCTTGAAGGCATTAATGTTATGCGTCATACTTCCTGCAGTGTTATTAAAAATTATTTCTTCTTTTCCTTATTACACTCGTTTGCAACAGCAAAGCAGCGGATCTGGTTTGAATATTAAAGTTAATGACCAATTGTTGATAGATGAGAAGATGTTGTTAGGAATGATAGTGTTTTTTAAAAATAATCATACCCAAATGTTGTTGGGATTAGTAATACCTAAATATTCCGAAAATTAATACCTAAATGTTGTAAAAATGCTGAAACCAAAATTTTGCTAAAAGTATTAATACCCAAATTTTGGGGAATGCCGAAACCCAAATACCGAACAATGGAACCAAAATCTTTTACAGGAATTATGAAATCACTATAGGCAAAGCTTAGTGGAATCAAAATGTTGTCACAAATGAAACATACCGTAATAAAATTATTAATATCTTCGAAGAATGCTGGTACTGTTACAGCAAGAGCATTGAGGATATTTCATAAAATCATATGGGCAGAAGAAAATTATTACCACTATTTTTGGAAATTATGATTCCCTTACGTTACGATCAAGATAATACAAATGTTGAAACCCAAATGATATAAATAAACAGCTAAAAATAGTACTCCATAATTTTATAATCTTGTTTTGAAACAATTTACCCATAAGTAATGCGAACAATCCGTTAAATCTGCAACAAAATCAATCCGTAACCATCCAACAAAATCTAAACAGCACAGAGGAAAAGATAAAAGTCTCTAAAAAAAACATCTTCAATACATTCTTGAAACGTCGAAAAACAAAGTACTAAATCCATCATTCTATTAATAAATTATGATTCAATTGAAAGACTTCCGTTTACGATGAAATACATCTTATATATATGGAGCATGGATTTAAGGCAGGAAGCATCTGAACCATAGGGACCTCCAAATAGGGACAAAAATTTCTTTATTATCCATATCAAAGAAGGCAAAATCGGTGGTTGAACCTATATATATGTATAAGCACAAAACGAGACACCCTATGTGTGCAGAATAAAGTGGTATTGTATATATATACATGTACATATATATATATAAAAAAAAAGAGTAGGGCGAATGAGACGAGGACCGATTACAGTATAAGAGAGATGGAAAAACTGAGAGTAAGAGGGGAATTGTTGGGAGAAGAGAAAGAGTTCCCACTGAGGAGTAAGGTGAGTAAGTGAGACGAAAGAAAGACCTTGCTCATGCTTTCAAAACTGTGGGGAATGCTTTGTGCCTCCTGCAACACAGTGTCGTCACTAAAGAAGCACGTGCCCATTTAGTAATCATAAAATTTTTGAAAATTTTTTTTTTCTATTATTACCATTTGATTTTATCATCCTATTGGTCCTATACATATGACAATTACCAACGGCAGAGGATTAATGTTTTTTCTAATCCGAACGAATTTTTATCATACAGTTACGGTAAATTCTACTATTACAGAAATGGAATCATACAGTTACGGTAAATTCTATTACAGAAATGGAATTTACCATAAGTTTGGTAATTTTTTCTAGTTTGACAATATTGTTACCAGTGAGACATGTTTAAATTACTGAGCACCATATATTGATGCTTCTATAATCCGAACGAAATTTTACCAGACTTACGGTAAATTCTACTATTGCAGCAGTAGAATTTACAATAACTTTGGTGGTACTTTTCTGGTTTCTTTGACAATTAATAACAGTGGGATTTGTCCCCAAATTACTCAGTACCATACGCAGAAGATTAATGTTTTCCTAATCCGAACGAAATTTTACCAGACTTACGGTAAATTCTACTATTGCAGCAGTAGAATTTACAATAACTTTGGTGGTACTTTTCTGGTTTCTTTGACAATTAATACCAGTAGAACTTGTCCCGAAATTACTCAGTACCATACGCAGAAGATTAATGTTTTCCTAATCCGAACGAAATTTTACCAGACTTACGGTAAATTCTACTATTGCAGCAGTAGAATTTACAATAACTTTGGTGGTACTTTTCTGGTTTCTTTGACAATTAATACCAGTGGGACTTGTCCCCAAATTACTCAGTACCATACACAGAAGATTAATGTTTTCCTAATCCGAACGAAATTTTACCAGACTTACGGTATAAATTCTACTATTGCAGCAGTAGAATTTACCGTAATTTTGGTAGACTTTTCTGGTTTATTGGACAATTGTTACCAATGGATCCCCTTACTCGGCACCATAGGAATTCTTACAAAAAAACTAATTTCAATCTTTTCTCAGTGAATCACGTTTCGCATTATTGAACCTGGTAAAGTCAAAAGAATTATAATCATTACTTTCGTCGTAACTATTCGGCGTGCATGTATTTCTATTTCCTAAAAGAAAATTTTCCAGAATTACAGCATAGAATAAATAAAAATATGATTATGGAGAAATTTCTTAATTTTTCGTTCATGGTAATAGAAAAGTGACAGACGGCCCTGCGGGAACCCTCGACATATACGAAAGGAAGTACCGCGACGCGAATGGAGTAAGGAATGAGTGTGGTATAGTATAATCTATAGAAGTATACTGTTATGGCTATGGCAATACTATAGCACAGATATATATATATATATATATATATGTATGTGAAGAAGAAAGAAGCTTCATAAGCCTTAGCTGCTGGCAATTCGCACTCATATAAAGGCGCGACCCTATCATACGACAACTATATACATACATATATACGAGGAATCGTTGTGCAGGTAGACACAAAAGACGATGGTTACCAACTTACAGACAAAGAAGCAAGACTTCAATGAATCGAAAATATCCTCCCCTTTAGTATGATGAGATATATAATTTTTTTTTTCAAGAGCTTCATTTCGTTATACTTGAAGCTTTATTATTCCTTATACAATACCGTGCGGTACTTCTGTTCAAGAACATAAAACAAGAAACGAAATATTCTAATTTGCAAGAATTCTATAATGATCAGGGAAAAACTCACTTGTATGTTAAAACTGAATTTAATTCAATTAACTAAATTTTAATTTACAATGTTCGGTGTAATATTAGGTATGGGAAACTTTTTTTCCCTGTATATAACAACAGGGTTGATCGAGGTCGTCGTAAATTGAAATTGATCGCTACGAAGCTTTTTGGTCATATATGGTTGAAAACACCATAAAACGCTCTTTAAATACAACCCCTCGGTTCTCAATAAAAATATCCTTTTCTTTCGCAATTTTTAATCATCTTTAGCCCTGACAAAAAAAAACGTCCGAATCGTTAATCTTTATCAAGAATATGAAACCAATCCAATTTTGATCTGAAATTTCAAACAATGAAAGACTAAACAAAAGAAATAATAGTCTCTTTTTTTTTTTTATCAATAGAGAGTTCTTGTAACGAATTTCCGAGATGGGAATATATATATACACAAAGATGTAACTTGATATTTATTTTTGTTTTTAAATTGAAATCTAGTCGAGTCAAACGTAACAGATCAACGGATATTTGTTTCAACGAATTCTTTTCTGAAGGCGATGCTATCGACAGGCGTCTAAACTTGAATGACGTTGATATTAGTTTGAAGTCAAGTACACATACACTTGTGCAAAAAAAAAAGAAGAAGAAGAGAAAAAAATCTCCTCAGAAAAGTTATGACATTGCTTTTTACATAAACGAATCTGAATGTAGAAAGAGAAATAGTTGATTTTTTTTATCCAATAGAGAAATTTTTGGGGTCTGCGCTTTCTGTTTATAAATAGACATATGTCACTTCAGAACTGTTTTAAAGTTATAAGCAAAAGAATTTTATTGAAATAACAAAATAACTAAAATTAAATATTTTTTCTTTTTAATATTATCAAAATTTGCATCACTCGCCCGAGAGTAAAGTTTCTCTACGGAATGATGCAAAATTTGAACCACAGGTTTTTTTTTTCTTCTCTTTTTTTTTTTTTTTTTGCTAGAGAAAAAGCCCTTTGAGACTCACGTGCACGTTTGAGCGGTCGTAAGGCATCTCCGGGTGACGACAATGTACAAAACACACAGAGAGAACATAAAGGTACTTGGGAAGGTAC